CTGTCTGTCTGTCTGTCTATCTGTCTGTCTATCTGTCTGTCTGTCTGTCTGTCTATAGTTCTATCTGTCTGTCTGTCTGTCTATTTATCGTTCTATCGTTCTGTCTCCATCTCTCTATATCTTTATATATATTGCATTTTATATTTAAATTAGGAAAAAAAATAACAGATAGATAGATTATAGATAGAAGCAATTTTCTAATTTAATATAAATATTTACCAAATTATATGTTATTATCAGTATAACAATTACAGTGATTCTGTGTTAAATAATATTAAATTTGTAAACAAAATATATATTTTTTTTGCAATGTATGTTTATTTCTGTTGTTGATGCCAAAATTGTACAGTCTGTTGACTGATAGATTCTAGTCTTTTTGACAAGTGTATTGTAACACAGAACCTTTGGTGCAGAGATAACGTATTCAAACAGCACCATGTACTCTGTCTTCTGTGATAAAGGAGGGGTCCACAGAACAGTTTTTGATTGGTCCATTGCGTTTTGTGTACACCACCTAGTGAAGCAATCTGCATTGCTGATCGCACTCCTCGGCCTGTGGTTGTTCAGTCCAACGTGATGCCTCGTTTCACAGTCCACGTTCGGGACGAGTGGCTAACTGTTCCATGCAAAGATGCCACCTGCAGCATTAAATGGTTGGGTTTTGAAGCTCTCAAGCGATACATCAAGAACAAACCCGACAATGGAGGGATCCAGCATATCAAAGATGTATGTTTTGTGGTCAGAAGATGTCAGGGATTGGGCTTGCTGGACAGTGACGATACCATAGAAGATGTGCTTGAGGATAATGACTTTGTTGAACTTGGTAAAGTTACAAATATGGCTTACTTGTTCAGTGTTTGTTGAGAGAGTGATCAATCGTTCAGTTCTTGGCTGGCTTTGGACAGATTGTTCTTTGGAGACTGTTTACCACAAATACTGAATCTTGTATTGCAAGATGAGTCAATAACATGTTATTTTACTGTTATCTTCAGCTATTGAAGGGGACACCATGTCACAAGATTTCATTCCAAGTCAGCCTGGGACGTCACATCTGTATCTTTATATTGACAATCATCA